TAGTCTTTACAAAGACTATATTGTAGTTTAGGCATAAACTGCCGAGGCCCACCCGAGTACTGAACAGGGGAGCCAATCCAAAAGTGAAGTGAGTACTGACAGAGAGAACTGATTGGGATATGAAGCAAGTATTGACCAAGAGAACCAATTTGGACGTGAAATGAGTACTGACAAATAGAGCCGAATGTGATGAACAGAGGGTTTGACCCGAAACAGATCAAGGTACTGACCAATGAATGTGACCCTAAAGTGAACCTACTATATTTGCTAACATTATGATTTATGATCAGTGGAGATAAGAATTTAATACCTAAATAGCAGGATAACAGGCCAGGTAAACAGGAAAATGGGGAACAGGCGACTGTGGTGGTGGACGTCAAGATAAATGTCTGCTGCCAGATGTGACAGATTCATGAGTGTCCGTGCAAACGCGCTCATCCCGTTCCATATTCACAGCATGTTTTCCACTCGGATGTCTTAGATGAATAAATCTCAAGGGCAAGACTGACAGACAAGAAGGGGAAAGAAAATGAAGGGTGAAGTCTGACTGTGCTGGGCTGCATCCAAGCACCGCTTCACCTCCCTCTGCACGCTCACTAACGTCCCATAGTCAGGTTAAAATAGACCCATCAAGCCCACTAATGCTCCCGCTCCTGACTGCGCCAAACACCGACCGCCCCAAGCACGCACGCTAAACCGCGTTAACAGCACTGCGGCTGAAGGACAGCCCCCCAGGGACGAACAGCACTATGGAAAAGCAGAAAGACGGGATCACGGAAAGTCGACGTCGACACGCGTGGGTCGTCAGTGCCGCAAGCCAAGACGGCCCGGGGCGAGGGTGCGGACACCTCGGCTGAAACGCGGGGGCTCATCTGTTAAAACTGTCACTCTGGAGTTACTGACACGGAGCCTTTTGTCAGGCCTGGGCGATAAGAGAATGACTAAGAGTGATTTAACATGGCAGAGAACATGCAGGGAGGATGTGTGACAGTGTGAAGGATGCTGCTGAGGGGGTGCTGGCCCACTGCCCTCCGCTCTGCATGGACCTGCAGGGCACGGAAAAGAGGAGAGCAGCTCCCAGGGAAAGCGTAGCTCTTTGAAGCAGGTTTTACCATCCATAGTGAAGCTATGGATGCTAAAGTCCACTGCGTGCCTGTAATTATAGATATAGATAGGACCTTGGGGTGAGCCGGCTAGTTCTCCTGGGATATCTGGGTGACAGGACTTCAGGGTGAGCCAGCTAGTTCTCCTGGGATATCTGGATGATAGGAGGTCTAGGTGAGCCAGCTAGCTCTCCTGAGATTTCTGGGTGATAGGTGGTCTAGGTGAGCCAGCTAGTTCTCCTGGGATTTCTGGGTGATAGGAGGTCTAGGTGAGCCAGCTAGTTCTCCTGGGATTTCTGGATGATAGGAGGTCTAGGTGAGCC